CCCTTCCTCTCTCTAAAATCAATAAAAAAAAATTTAAAAAAAAAAAAAAAAAAAAAGAAAGAAACCGTTATCTCTCTCTCTAAAGATGCCTACTGGTCTAATATTCTATGATGTTACTTTTTTTTTTCATTTTCACTTATTCCATCAATATTTTTTAAAATTACCCACTATGAAGTAAGCACAGGGAATATAGCTGTGAAAAATAAATAAATATTGACTCTGTCCTTATTCTAGGGATGTGTGGTGGTGAGGGAACAAATAGAGGCATTAAATTACTCATTACATGAATAATTTATTATAATTGTGATGTGTGCCATAAAGGTGAAATAGAGGCAGGCTGTTGTGACCTAGTCAGGCAGAGGATGATCAGGGGCAGTCTCCCTGAGCAGGAACACTTAAGACCTGGATGATGAATGGAAATCAGGCTGATGAGAAGAAGAAGCAAGAAGATTCCCTGCAAAGGCCATGAGATGGGGCAGAGCCTGGCACATTTGAGAAGCAGAAAAGTGCACTGTGTGACTAAAAAGAAGGGAAAGGGAGGCATGACTTGGGACAAGTTGGAGAGAAGGCAGCAACCATCTTATGCAGGGCCTGGCAGGCTGTGAGCAACAATTTGGATTTTATTCTCAAGGCAATGAAAAGCCATGAAGGGTTTTAAAAAGAACCCTGATTTGCATTTTTTAAAAAGAACACTCAGGGGATGGACAGATAGATAATGATCAGCAAATACAATTAATGTAGAAGCTGAATTTAGGTGATAGGTGTAAGAATATTTACTGTAAAATTATTTCAACTTCTTTGTTTAAACATTTAAACATGTTGGGGAAATCTGGCCACAGTATGAAGAATGGATTGCTGGAAAACAAGAGTGGCTGCACAGATAGCAGCTAGGAGACTTGTAATAATCATAAAAAAGGGTGATGGTGGTTTGGGCGAAGGTGGTGGCATGGAGATGGCAAGAACTGGACAAGCTTTGGAGATATTTAGGAGGTAGAATCAACATGATTTCCTGATGGCATTTGCCTCAAGTCAAGGGAGAGGCATAAATCAAAGATCACTGCCCAGTGCCAAGTTAGCATAACCGAGTAGATGATGGTACCAGGTACTGAGTCAGGAGGTACTGGAGTAGAAAGACCTGGGTGCAAGGGAGAGAGTAGAGTGAAGAGTTCAGTTTTAAATATATTAAAAACATGAGCTATTCTGGTGGAGATGTCATATAGGCAGTTGGATCTGGGGTCTGGGTCGGAAAGAAAGGGTCTGGGTTGGAGATGTGAGTTTGAAGTCATAAGTATATAAATGGTAATCAAACCATGAGAACACAATCCATGATAATGCCTGAGAGTGTATAAAAAGTGAGGAGAAAAGAAAGAACAAGCATCAAATAATCCAATGTTTAACGTTTAACAATCTTTAAGAGAGAAGGAGAAGGAGCAACTAATGAAACAGAAAAATTAGGCATATATGTGATAGAAGGTCTCTATTGATGGGCTTTGGAGTTGCTTCCAATCTTTTGCAATACATGCCCCGTGGTGCTCATTTCTCACATATGTATCTATCTCTGAGGATAACTACCCCAAAGTGAAATTACTACTTTTACACACACACATGCATGCCTACACACACTTAATTTTGAATTTCATAGTATTTATTTTTGAAAAAACAAAAAGACTGCTTAGAAAAGCCACCAAACATAGACAGCTTAGTTAACCATATTTAATATAGCATTTGATAGGACTGGTTAAATAAATTTGATATATCCCTATAAAGTAATACCCTGTAACCATAAAAAAGAATGAGACTGTCAATATATTTTGATATGTAAGGGGAAGAGGGAAGACTTTTCATAATTTTGAACTATACGAAATTTGTGTCATTCACATGTACTACCAATATTTAAAAATGTTCTTTTTGTATTTCTGCGCCATACTTAGTAAAAAAAAAAAAAGTACGACAAAGATTAATTTACTTTTTATTTCTAAGAGCAACACCAACAGATTTCTGATGAACTTCTGCATACCTGAGTTTTGCATCATGGAAATACCCAGTTAGATGTTGGTTTTTATGAAACTATGATACAGAGAATTGCTCTAAGTGTGAAGATCTGAACACAATGTTCATGCTTGTCTTGAGTTCAATTTATAAATTGTGGAATTTATTACTTTGCCACTTTCATTATTGATTAATAAATCTACTTCATTTGTCTACTTTAGAGATGTCTCCAGACTTTACCGTCACTACCATCTTACCTCCCTTAAAAATGTCATTGAAGCCTGGCCAGCGTGGCTCAGTGATTTAGCATCAACTGATGAACCAGGAGGTCAGGGTTCAATTCCAGGTCAGGACACTTGCCTGGGTTGTGGGCTCGATCCCCAGTGGGGGGTGTGCAGGAGGCAGCCAATTGACGACTTTCTCTCATCATTGGTATTTCTATCTTTTGCTCCCTCTCCCTTTCTGCTCCAGAAATCAATAAAAACATTTCTTTTAAATGTCATTGAAGACAGAATGAATCACATCAAGTCTGATGACAATTTATTTTTCCAATATAGAAAGTAGTGATGATCTTACATTTTTTGTTTTCTGTTTTTAAGAAAAGTAACATAGGGATATGGGTGTGAGTTTTTTTTAAAATGTACCATATGTACTAAGCTACACTAGACTACTAATTTCAGTTTTCTAGAATTCATTTATTTTTGAATAATGTGAAAAATGGATTGCTTATTCTCTTACTAAGAATAATGCTAAATATATTCTTAAATCTGTTTTCAAAATTTAAGAAAAAAATAGAATATGGAACAATGAGCTAGAATAAACTTGAAGATGATTCTAATTTTTCTATTACTAAAATTCAGATTCAGATTGTATATGAATTCAAGTAGAAAAATGAGCTGAGAGGATAAAATATGACTCCAGAAAAAGACTGGGTCAGGTATGTTCATACTCAAATAACCAGACTCTGCTCTACTTTCCTTCATATCTGTGCTACTGTCCACCATGATAAACATAGGATCATGCCAAGGACTTTAGTGGAAGGAACAGTGGATTTAAGTTCTAATACAGTCACAGCTTCTATATGATCCTGGGCAGTCATTTCAGCTCTTTGGGTTCAGATTTGGAATATGCAAAATGAGGAACCAGTTCTGAGACCCCTTTCAGTTTTAACTACCTTTGCATCTAAGTTTGGTGGCTTAAGCATCTGGAATTCCAAGTGACAAAGTATGGTAGATTAAAGTACTGGCAATGATTCTTTATTCCTCCCTGCCTCCTCACTCTTGCCACGGCTTCATTATGAGCAGAATGTATTTCCCTGCCTCTTGAGTTTGGGTTGGGCCATGTGACTTCCTTTGACCAATGGGGTATCAGAAGACATGATGCAAGCAGGGCTCAAAATGTACATGTAATTATTTCTTAATCCCCTTCAGTTAATGGCTTAGGACATTTCATAAAATAAATGTTTACAACATAGCTCTCTAATAGTTAGGTCATAACTAGGGTGACCCTATATCCTAATTTTCCCAGGTCAATCCTGGTTTATATATGTTGTTCTTGTGTAATGATTTAGCTTCCTTCACTATCAAAAGTGAGCTGATTTAGATTATAAATTATATAGTCACCACAGAAAAACTTGAAAACTTACCTGGGCAAGCCACAATATTGCTAAAATGACAGTGCCACCCCTTGGCCTTAGCAACCATCCTCACATGCCTTTTTTGGAACCATGGGGATTCCCAAGGTGAGAAAAGGGTAGCCAGCATCCCTTCTTCTTGCTTTTCAAGTGTTCTACATTCTAAGTGGCTCCCTTTTCCCTCAAACCATTTGAGGAAACCTAAAGTAACTAATAACTAGAAAAAGTTTGTGATTCCCAATCTCAACTGTAGTGTCAAATAAGCTTGCACCAACCATTTCCCTTATGGTATAAAGCCTATGAATCATTGCACAATTTGTTCATTGACAGAACAATGTGGTACACTTTCTATCATCCAGTCAAGAAGTTCCTGGACTATGGACATATTTTTTTTTAGACTTTCAGCAAAACCCTAAATGATCGTCACATTGACATCTCTCCCCTCATGTCCTAGTGCCCTCAAGTGAGAAATGCCAAGAAAGAGGAATCCCAGGGCCCCAAGCCTGCTACTGGTAGGAAATGGCAGCCAAACAGTCCCAGGAGGCCTTATTTTGGAGAATGGTACCTTCAAAGCCGACGCTTCCCCATACTGGAACGGAGCATGAGTATGCCCTCCACAGGAATCCCAGGATTGTTGGCCATCTTCTGCCAAAGGCGTTGCTCTTCTCCCTGTGAGTCCATCCAATCCACAGCCTTCCCATGGCTCACACCTTAAGAAGGAAAAGAGGAATATTACTCTTCATAGATTAAATGTTTTGGTCTTCTGGAGGACACCTATTAACCTCGGAGGGGGCCTTTTGACCACAGAGCCATTCACTGGCTTGTTCTCACCATATCTAGTGAGTGGTGTTAGAATGAAATACATCTTTTGCAGCCCCAACTACCTTCTTCTGCCTAGAGGATGAGAAACAATCAGGATGGCCTTAGTAGCTTCTTTCTTTCCCACTTTGGTGGTTTAGCAGAGAGCTGGTTCATCTGGACTGAGCTAACTAGGCTCTGTGGCTTTTCCTTTCTAATAAGGTCAGTTCTCTGACCTGGTATAGATATTCTTGGCTCTCCTTAATCCATAAATAAGTAGAGTATCATAGGGGTGGCGTAGTTATCAACAGGAATGTTGACCATGGTGCAGGCAGAACATGTATGTCTGGCACAAGCTATGGTATAATGAAAGTCTGGGGTCTGCTTGTGCTCCACTACTATAATCCGCCCTCCGCTAATTCTCCTGTTACAGTTGTGTCTTGTGGCACTAGTGGTATGTTTCCATGACCTCTTTGCAAAGCATTAGATGTTACTTTTTAAGAAAAAAATTATTTCCTTTCAACTAGTGTGAGCAATGGACAGAAATGAGAAGAGGATGATGTGAATTTGGTCTTGAAAGTCCTTCTCTTGCCTCTCGGAGCCTGTGTTGTCTGATGATCCTCTCCTAAGTAAAAACTGAAGGCCCAAGAAAGCAGTTTAAATTCACTTAGCTTAAAGTGTAAATGATATTTTGTGAAAAGAATGCAAATTAGAATGATACATGCCAAACTTCTAGTTGAAGGATACAAAGTTATGCAGTAGTATATTTATTTTAAAAAATGAACAGATCCTTGGTTAAAGGCATGCAACATCTGTGGAAGTTTCAGGAGCCAGCTAAGCTGAAACTACATATATACCTTCTACATATCAAACCTTCAGGAACCACTCCCAAACCCCGTGCACAGTCACAGACCATCTCAAGGTCCTCAAGTCCCTCACCGCTTCCAGAATTCAAACGAACTCCTCCCAGAAAGATATTGCTGGAAAAGGCCTCCTTGTCCCAGATGGTAAGTTCTAGGCAAACATTCTTTATATCCTGGGGATGCAGACCACTGAACGTGAATGTATGATTCCACTGAGGGTTAACACTCTTTTTTATGACCAGAGTTTTGTGCTTGGTGGCTTTGCTATCATCAGGGAGCAGGTAGCTGCAAGAGAAAATGCAATCAAGCCATCAGTGAGACAGCAGACAGAAAATGGCATTCTTGAATAGTCATTTCAATTTCCCATTAATTCCTAGTGTGTGTGTGTGTGTGTAAGTGTGATGTGTGTATTGGATTTTCTCTCCCAGGTTCTTATATGCTTAAATTTGGATTTACTTAGTGGGATGGTTTATTATTTCTTTTAAGTGGGGCAATAGTAAAATGCCCACACTCTCTTTTCTAATCCTATTTTGGTCCTTCATTCATATTGAAATGAAAATACTTCCTGTAGTAGACACTGTTTAATGTCCTGTCTCCTATCATATTTGGTGCACCTCTGAGTTGACTTGAAGCCAGGACGGGCATTTCCCACCTCAGGAGCCTGTGTCTCTTGGCTTTTCTGGTGAAAGACTTTCTCTGGTGCTGTGTGAGCTGACTCAGCTTATGTGCAGGGAGTCCTGGGATTATTAAAGATTTAATGTCTCTGGGAGCAATCCTCAATCAGTGAGTTTTGGAAATTGGTGGATGAGTCCCATAGCTTCCCTGTCTTTTCAAGGGACAATCCTAACATACATTCCAGAGTTTCTTGTTTCTTTCCCCAGTGGAATTGAGCCCCAATTGCCCACAGTAGTAACCTGCCTACTGGCATTTTTACCAGTTTCCTTCCCTCTTCCTTGTCTCATCTTCTCCTTCTCTCACTAGTGCTTCCTGGAATCTCTTCTCAAATAAAACACCTGTACCCCAGGCCTTCTCTACTATGGTGAAAACACTGTTTTTGACCATAGTAGAGAATGAGGGTCTAGGTACCTGATGAATCAAAGAGCAAGACTTAGGGAATTAGTATGTCAAACAAACATGAAAAATCCCACAAAACAAATGACCTTACAATAAAGAAGATGCATTGCTATACTTGAGATTTCATTTCATATACTAAGCAGAGACTACTTATCTCCCAATATTCATTTTTTTCTTATTCTTCTCTTTAAAAATCTTTATTGTTTTTTAGTTAGGCACAAGATCGCCCAGAAAAAACACTACATTTCCCAGCCTCCCTTGTAGCTAGTACAGTCATGTGACCAAAAAGATACAAGAAGTAGTTTTATATGAAACTTCTGGGAAGTGTCTTGCCAGATAGAATTTGGCTCTCTAGTCTCATGAGGTAGACACCAGAATAATAAAGAAGAAACCTGGGTCCTTTTTTATCATGATGCTTCCACACCTTCCCTAGATACCTTACCTTTAATCTTTGTTTACATGCAAGAGGGAAAAAAATGCCTCGTTTAAGTCACTGTTATGCTGGCTCACAGACAGAGCTAACATTAAATAATATATTTTATAATATTAAACTTTACAGAAGGGTCTATTCTTGCTCTCTCATGCTCTTTTTTAAAAAATCTGAAGTCCCTTTAAAATCATCTCAATGTTGAAGTATAACTAGAGAGAGAACTTACTAGAAAGTTACTGGCCTTTAAAAAATATATAAAACAAGAATAGTGTCCTTTATTATCTCTGCTTCATAAATGTTCAGCATAATAAAGTGAAAACTATTATAGGCAATGTAAGTCACCCCTGCAAAGCCACAATGAGGCATAGGCAAGGAGTCATCGTCTCATCCCACCAGGCAGAGAGCAGAAAGAGGCCTGGTGGGGCTGGTGAGGCAAGTTGCAATGTCAGGATCCAAATAAAGTGTCTCAGTAATATGAGAAAGAGTGTAGGACAGATGGACCAGGATTCAGGCACACACACACCAGCGGGGAAACATCAGACACCTGCTTCTCCTTATCATTGGCCTTATCAAAGTTAGAATGTGTGAGGGTAAACACTTGACTCATTTCCTTGTGGGGAAAATTATACTTTTCAAAGAAGGATTGAGGAGGATAATAATACTACCATCTGACTCAAAGAATTAATTTCATGGAAATCCGTTTGTCATCATGTGTTTTTCAGCACTCCATGAGAGCAAGGACCACGTCTTATTTCTGAAACTGCAGTACTTAATGCTTGGTACACGTGCTTAAATGTGTTTGCTTGAAGGAATGAAAAATAGCTTTCTGATTTTAGTTCCTCTTATTATAGGAGAAAATCTCAAATAGAAATCAAGAGGTATTCGTTGTTTGGGTTGCTTAGAATGGGGAAGACTGTCCATTTAAAGAGCTTGTATTCCCTCAAGAAGCTGTTCTGTGCTCCATACATAAAGTGGGCACAAATTCCCAGCAGGCAGTCACAGACCTTCCTCCAAGCACTCTCCAGTGGGCATCTCTGAGGAGGATGCTCTGACAAATCCACGTTTTACTATTTCCTCCAAAAAGAACAAAATCCTAAGTATCCAATATTTTTGTTATTGTTGCATATTGCCAGCACCAAGTGATAACAAAGCACAATAAAATTATATTAAATATAGAAAATCATACTTTCTCTTCCTTCAAAAAATAAATTGCACAGGAAAATTTTCCAGTCATGAAGGTGAGAGTGATGGGAATTCCTGAAATATGCTGGAAGTAGGCTGAAAGCTAGAAAAAGCAGTTCCCTCTGTACTGGTATTATTTTAGATGGAAGAGCCAGCATTCAAGGGTAGGTCTTTCCTAGTACATTTCAAATAAGAAGAACATAGAAGCTTCACAGCCACCACCATCTCATGAATCACAGCTCATTTCATTTCCCATTAAGCATAACAAAATTACCCCTTCACAAAGCTATCAGAAGTGCCTCCTGACTTCACCGCTGTTAAATTCTTTGCCTCTTTGATGAACACTTCTAGTATTCCTCCAGAGAGTACAGGTGGCTCCTTCTTTCCCCTTTTAAAGGTCTTCTTTCCTGCATGAGTCATCAAAATGAAAGAGAGAGAGAGAGGAAGAGAGGAGAGTGACGAAAGAGAGAGAGAGAGAAGAAGACAAAGAGGAGGAGGAGGAGGAGGAAGGGAAGGAAGAGAAGGAGGAGGAGGAGGAGGTGGAAGAGGAAGAGAAAGAGGAAGAGGAGGAGTGGTGAGATAGATCATGAGTTGCATTTCAAAATTTACAAAAATAATCAACTAAGATTTATTTCATTTGCTGACTGAATCATGTCTTAATATTATTGTCTTTTTCCATGTATTAATGTAAATGTTTTTACCCATTTAGATTCCTTATAGATAGCTCTTTCATTTGTTTGTGTTTGTTGGAAAAAAATAAACACGTACATTTAAAACTATTTGCATAAGGTATAAAAGAATAAAATGCAAAAGATCCTGGGAGCTTCCTTGACCACATTCCTGCTCTCATTAGAAAATAACTACAATGAAAGCCACACACAAGTGCCAAGGCTCCAAAAGAGAAAATTCCATAACTCCCTTCTTTGAAATTTTAGTCTTGTACATTGTCATCTCCATGCAGGGCCAGCTCTTTATTAAAGTATAGCCCAGACACAATTACATTTTTGAGTGAGAGAAAACTCTTCCTATATCACATTTTTATTATAATGAAATGTGCTCAACATAAATAATAACCCCCACCAGCACATTTATTTAGTAGTTTTAAGCAGTTTCATAAATGTACCTATTTAATCCTTGCAACATCCCTATGAATTAAGGAAACTGAAACCCCAAAATAATAAGTTACTTTCACAGGGTTACAATGATGAGAGTGATAGTGAATGGAAGGATAGAAGAGACTTCCCATAGGAGTTGATGGAAGGAGAAAGCAAGAGGGATTTAAAAGTTTGCTCCATCTGGATTTTTCCTTTACATTCTGTGTTCTAGATCAACTTCTTCCTCAAGACTCATTGAAAAGCTATGAATGTCATAAACCTGTACAGCAGCTATCTACACCTTCCCTCTCTGCAGAACCCCCCCCCTCCACACACACACACCCACACACCCACACACCAGGGAAGATCCTATATCTCTGGGACTTCCAGGAAAAAAATTGTTACTATTAAGGCTGGTTTCTAAGTATGAAGTTAGAATCCCACACCCTTCCCCATATATTGTACATACTTCTCAACTCTCTTGAAAAGCCAGTGAAACCTAATCCTTTACATTTCATATGTGTAATGTGAAAGTAACAGTCCAAACAATCCCTGATCCTTATTCTCACACTTCCAGAACAGAGTGTTCTTGATGAAAGGCATTGATTTTTACTTTACCTTGAAGTTGTCCTGGTGGAAGCATCAGGTTGTCATCTGGAGGAATGTAACGTAAAACAACTGTCAGCTCTCCTTTGTATTGAAGGCCAATGTCAGCAGATAATTCCACCTGGCCAAGAGGAGACGTGTGAAACAGAAAAGTGAGAATTCTTGCTTTGTTATTTTGTAGCTCATGTTTGTACAACATTTACTTGGTGATTTAAATGTGACAATCCATTCCCATTCAATTATGGTTTAAGAGATATCCTAGGTATGAGAAAAAAGAGGCTGGAAACTCTATGAAGGCATTTGCATATAACTTTCACCATTAAATTAAAAAGAATTTGAGAGGAGATGTATAACACACATTTGGTCAGTCAATAGATACTGAGTGCCTGTGATGCACTGGGGACTAGACCATCACTGAGCACACATATAGTTTGGGGTATGAGGCAGGCAGGCATAAAGATGCCGCTGAAAATAGCCCGCAAGGTACTTCTTCCTGTCTGTCCTTGATGTCTCAAGGCTTTCCTAAGTGACTAAGAAGAGGAAAGAAAGGAGTAATACTAGATTCACACTGGGCTGCCAGGCACCAATTATAATTCACATCAATAAAATTCAATGTGGAAAAACTGGTTCTCTCAAACATTGCTGGTGGAAATGTAAAATGATGTAGCCACTCTGGAAAACAGTTTGGCAGTTTCTTAAAAGACTAAACATATAACTGACATACAACCTGGCGATTGCGCTCTTGGGCATTTATCCCAGAGAAATAAAAGATTATGTGCACAGAAAAACCTGTACACAAATATTTGTATCATCTTTATTTATAGTAGTAACACACTGGAAGCAATCTAGATGTCCCTCAAAGAGTGAATGCTCAAACTAACTGTGATATACCCATACCATAGAATACTACTTGGCAGTAAAAAGGAATGACTATTGATACACGCAATAACTTGGATCTTTAGAAAATTATGCTGAGTTAACAAAAGGACAGTCTCAGAAGGATACATCTTATACAATTCCATTTACATGACATTCTTAAAATGACAAAATAATAGGTATGGAGAACTGAATAGCGGTTGCTAGGAGTTAGGGATGGGCATGGCAGGAGGGAAGTGGGTGTGGTTATAAAAGAACATGAGGTTTTTGTGATGATGGAACTGTTTTGTAATTTGGCTGTGTGGTGGACACACAAAGTTACACAGGTGATAAATTGCATAGAAATAAATACACATACACACACAAATGAAAACTGAGGAAATCTGAATAAAATTTTTATTATAATGAAATGTGCTCAACATGAATAATAACCACCACCAGCACCTTTATTTAGTAGTTTTAAGCGGTTTCATAAATGTACCTATTTAATCCTTGTAATATCCCTATGAAGTAAGGAAAATGAGACCTCTCTGTACTATTTATTGTAGCTTCATGTTGATCTACAGTCATCCCAAAATCAAAAGTTTAAATTAAAAAATTAAATGTGAACCCAGAGCTTCTGTTCTGTAGGCCTCCCACTTGCCACTGAGTCAACTGAATTTTAATTCTTCATAATTAGGGTAAGAAAAGTAATGTACTTTCTAAGGACCTTATTTCAGGAACTTGATTCCTGAGTACTGAGTCAAGGGTTGAGAACTGCTCTCTTCTGAGAGAGGACAGACTGAAAAAATTCAGAAACCCCAAAATTCACAGCAAAGCCAGAAGCTGTTCAAGTCTCAGCAAAAAGAGACCACAAGGAATCCTTGTCTGACTGTCTTTCCTCTTGGTTGTGGTAAAACTTATTAGTAAGTGTGGGAAATCATTTAAGGTATTTTATTCAACCATCTTACGAGGGGCAAAAATGAAATTAAATGGTGGAACAGACTCTCCATCTAATATTTAATTTGATTATTTTCAATCAAGTGCCTTATAAAAGGACTTCTCTTATTGTTTTGAAGTTTCAGTAAATTTAGTGAAAGTCATAAATGAAAAATTATAATGGATATTATGGCAGATTAAAGGGATAACTAGTTTTTTGGTACTGTAGCCAATGAGAATTTTTTTTTCTTTTTTTTTTTTTTTTTTTTT